CCCTTGATCTTGATCTTGATCTTGATCTTCTTGGAAGCTTAGCACCACAAGTGTAATGCCTCTAATGGAATCACACCCAAACTAGCAAGAAGGAAATTAGAGGAGAGAGGGAAGAGGGAGTATGCAAAATTTCGGCCCTTAGGGTTTCTTCCAAAGAAAAGAGTGACCAAAACATGAACCAGGAGGCTCCTTATATAGCTGAGGGATCTAGGGTTTAGGAAACCCTAGTTATCCTTTGCTTAGGGCCTAAGCAAACCCAAGGGCCTTATCCAAGCCCTATGGACGAAATTATTAGGGTTTCCCCTAAAGATTTCGTCCACCCTTATCCAAGGGGGTTCTAGAGCGTTCCACTCAACTATTAGATAATTGCAAACTAGTCCCTACACCTTATAATTAATTCTTTTAACCCCGAAATTAATTCTAATTAATTTCTGGCTAACAACTAATTAAACCAAATGATTTCTTATTAATATATTAATCTTTTAACATATTAATAAAATCATTTATATTAATTTATTAATCTTATAATAAATTAATATCTCTACTTTCATAATTTCCTTATCCGGTTGCTAGGTTTGAGGGCAACCCAAAAGGACTGTGCTGCTATCAATTCAAGTACATACCAATTATAGTTATGGGCTTAGACACCTAATCCAACACTAAGATGCAAGATCTCGAACTTGAATGGATTAAGAGATGATTTTTGATGAAAAGAAGTAGCTAGAATATGGATCTAATCAATATCTTACCTTAGATGATGAGTTTTTGTGGAGAATATCCTTGAAAGCTTTTAGATCTCGAAAGTTTTGAAGAAGAAGTGAGAAGATGTTCTTGAAGACGTAGAGAGAATGGAGTGAATTTTTGTGAGTGTGTGTGTGTTGTGTTCAGCCGAGAGCAAGAAGGAGAGGAGATAAGAGAGAGTAAGTGAGGTGATTATACATGGGAACATGAGAAAAATGCATGGTTATCCCATGAACAATTGTGAGGTGGCATCAAAAGTCAACACCTCCTCTTGGGTTGGGCTTGGGCCGAGAATAAAGAGGGAAAAAAAGATTTGGGCCCTTAATGCTTAAGCACTTATTATAATCCATTTAGGTGAATTTTTGGCTCAAATAAATCTAGGAATGATTTTTATGGCCTATTAGGGCTAATATAAATTTGTTTTGGTCCAATAAGACTCATTAAAGTTAATTTAGTTTATTTTGGGTTCATAAGGCCCAACAATGTTAAGTTTCATGTATATGGGTCCAATTAAGGCCCATTTGAGAGTTCTAGGTTCAAGATAATCCAATTGGAAACTTATTGGTCCATTGGACCCAATAAGGAAATCCTAGTCCAAAATGGACTTAAACAAGGATTTTTAGGGTTTCCAATTATTTGTTGACTATTTGCAGTGCTTGTATGAAGTGTTTGATTGAAATTTTATTGTTATTGAATAAGCATCTTACGTGTTTTCACATTGTTGGTTCACATTTGTTATCATTGTTCTAAGTTTACAAGGCATCAAAATTCCTAGTTGTGACAGGCTTTCCCTCTTTCTTGTACTAGTAGTAGTCATAGAGTCGATTTTGCTTGCATAGGGTTCTTTATATAATTGTAGCACAAGTAGGGTTACACCATGTAAACCCTAATTATCATGGCTTTTCATATTCCATGATCCATGGGTTTGTAACCTCCGTGGACTATCCATGGAGCACCTTATGGGTTTTAACCCAATACATACAAACCATGGATCATTAGCCCACTATACAAGAATAGATAATTTACACAATCTACCCCATATATTAAATTAGTCTCTTTTTGATCACTTAGTTAATTCCAAATTAATTCTTTGATCAATACTAATTAAATAATATTAATAATATATTATAACTTATAATATATTAATAATCCTTAAGTGTCCATTCTCTCATTTAGTCTATCCATGTGTTGCAATGTCATGCAACCCAAATGGACCATGCTATCCGGGTCAAGTACATTCCAGGAATATTTATGAACTTAGACACCTAATCCAACAGTCTCCCACGTGTATAAGTCTAATAACTATAACTGCAAGAATGACTTCAGGAACCGATCAGCAATCTTAGCTCTTTCAAGGTCTCGCGAAACTGAGATGATGATGATATGCCATTTAAGATAAGTGTTCATATAATCCTCTATTCTAGATATTAGCCGGACAAATACATGGAACAGTGTCTTACTTATTGTCCAGCAGTTTGTTTCCCGATTTCCGATTTGTTTGACATAGAACTTAATTGAACACATCAACTTAGTTATGACCGGGCCTGGTACATGGGTCAACATAAAATCATCGAGGGGCCCAGATATCGCTTCTAATCCAAGAAAGAACAGATAAACTTCGACTCATATGCTTGTTCTACTACTTGTTGAATCATACACAAAGGCACGTTTTATAACATGGAGTTACCAATGCGTTTTTGTACAATCAATTTATAAGCAACTCATAGGCAACAAGTCATATCTCTAGGTTTGAAGCCTTATATGATATTACCGTCTCACGATCACTCAAGATAAATTCCATGAAGTGATACCAGCGAGCGTGGGTTGAATCCAATACTCAGAACTTATGAGCACTCATGAGTGTTGTAGTAACACTTTGCAATTTCCAATACCTTAGACATCTACAACCAATTATATGACAGTGTTTATTCATATCTACTTCTAACATATGACCGATTGTGGAGAATTTGAATAGTATGAAATAACATAACATAATTATTCTGGAAGTCAAAACATGAAAATTGAAATGATAGTAAATGATTGACAAAAGATAACAACACTTTACTCATAAATAAACACAACTTTTATTCATCATCAAATGTCAATTACACTTTACACATTTCAAAGCTATCTAATTACTAAAACTAATATCATCCTTCAGCCCTATGTGCATCGCATGCTGGAGATGCTTAACTTTGCCCAGTCCCTTCGTGATGGTATATGTCGGGTTCTCATATGATGATACCCTCTTTGCCATGAGGAGTCCTTCTTCTATTCGATGTTTGATGAAATGGTATTTTCTAACAATGTGTTTGGATCTCATGTGATCCCTTGGTTCCTTTTCTAAGGCAACTGCACTTTCACTATCACAAAAAATCTTTATAGGCTCCTTTATAGTTGGTACAGCTCCAAGGTCTCCAATGAAGTCCTTTAGCCATATAGCCTCTGCTGCTGCCTCGCTCACCGCTATATACTCTGATTCGCACGTTGAATCAGCCATTGTCTCCTGGTTGGAACTTTTCCAAGAAATTGCTCCTCTGTTTAAGGTAAAGACCCAGCCTGACTGAGAGCGGAAATTATCCCTATCAGTCTGAAAGCTAGCATCACTATACTCTAATACTCTCAAGCCATCACTCCCATCGAGGGTAAGGACCCAGTCCTTAGTCCTCCGCCGGTACTTGAGAATGTTTTTACCGCAGTCTAATGTAACTAAAAAAATGGAAATTTGAAGATGAAAATTTAAAACTTAAAAGTATGAAGACATGTGATAAAAAAAAAATGTGTGAAAGAGCTCTAGCCACATTTAACCAATTTGTTAGTGAGAAGATCATAAATGGACCCTCTGATAATGATCAACAAATTATTTCATGTATGACAAAAGGTGAATTCTATAATTAGTGGATTCGAAATGTTTTAAGTAATGCTAAAATAAACATGTATATTGAAGTGTAGATGAACATGTCATTTTCATACAAACGACATGTCTTATAGTATCATGTAGAAAAATACTTTAGAAAATAAAATGTCTTAAACAAATATACTTAACTTAGATCCTGATCAACCAGGTTCATCAACCGTTTCTCCCTTGAATTTTCAATAATCATTTCCATGGGATTAGTCGACACTACCTGACCAAGAAACTTTGGAACAAAAAAAATAAATAAACGGTTGTTATATTATAGTTTTGTAATACAATAAATATTTACGTGGAGATAATGTAGAATGTAAAAATAAAATCTTACCAAATGCATCACGAGTGTCGAGATTCCTAGCTATCAAATCCTGGAAAGTCACTAAATTATAAGGATCCACCATAACAGCAAAATCATTTGATAAACGAACTTTGGTTGTTTTGTAGAAATTATTTTTATGCTTATGATCAACCAGCATGTAATCTCCTTCATTTTTGGTCATACCAAAACTATTAATTTCTCTTTCAGATCCTTCAACAAAGAGGGCTTCAATGGAACTAATGAGATTTTTTTATTGTTGTTTGTATTCTAGTGCCATGTAAGTGAAAAAAAATGGTTAAGTTTAAAATTTTATAAATTAAAAGCAACATAATAACAAAAAGAAAAAATTGTAAATAGCCGTCAATTAAAATCATGTCCAAGCTGCCGAACATGTTTGAGTTGTTTTTTAAGTTTGCTTCCAAATTAAGAGTACTTAACATAAATGTTTTATGGTTTCCTTGGATGCATCGATGCCAACAACCTTATCAAAGACGATCTCATCGTGATTGTTTTGTGCCATGAGTGTAATATGAAATAGAAAACAATTAGAATTAGAAAGAACTTTTAAATGAAATAAAAGGGACATATATAATGCATTTATCTATAAAGATGTATATTTATAAAAATGTATGAAAGCTATTATAACTGTCAATAAAATTGTTTCTATACTTAATTTCACATGATGCATAAATAGATTATATATTATTTGCTATTAAATCAACCTAAAAGTGTAATAGAAAAATATCAAAGT